TCGTCATCTTGTACAATAAAAATGCACAAATGAGTATACAAACCAAAAAACCCCTTAAATTTGGGGGAGCTTTTGACCTCACTTTTTGTAGAGGTGGCATAATCAACAGATTACAGCTCCTCTCACGTCCACATAGTTCCTTCGTGCACACTTGGACAAACCATTAGAGCATATGATCGATCTCTAGTGACGGGGAGGTGGCCAAAAGCACTTCGACGGTCAAGACAACCTATGTTAAAGTATATATTTGGGTGTGGGGCGTGATAAACACGTGAGCCACTTTAAGTAAAAGGGTTTGGATCTGAGAGTAATAGTGAGAGTAAAGAGAGAGCAAAGTTATATCTTGAGAGCATAAACTTGCATTACTCTGAAATGACACTAAGTGTGAGCTTTTGTAGTAGAAAATGATGGGTAAGAGTCGTTGGATGAAGAGACACGTGGCCTCATCCTAGCAGTTTGGACCTCTTATCGTAGACATCAATCAATCATTCCTAAGTCATGCTGTATTTAATGTTGTGATGGCTTGGCAGCCCTAGACTGACATGTAAGACTAGACTTCACTTGTTTGACTGCGTAGAGAGCTATTCAATAAGCTATCATATCATCCACTTGATACAAGATCTTGTATGAAGATTTTCGCTAAAACTCCTCAACCTACTACACATCATCCACGAGGGCACAGCTCTTCATGAGGGTTCGACCAAATGGGGTTAAGCCAATGAGGATTCGGCCAAATTGGGGTTTGTCTAAATTGCAACGTGGAGTGCAAGCATAGGTTCACCTGCTATGTAGCTACCATTTGGTCATGCTTAGAGCTTTGTTAGAAGAGGCTTAACAACAGTCCCCCAAGTCCATGTGACGCCGAATAGAATAATGATTATTCTGCAGGATGAATTCGACAGATAATTAACAGAGAAGAATGCAAGAGAAAATGCAAAGAAAACAAGAACAACTGAAAATAATCCACAAGCCGAGTTATATAAGCTCAAAAATCATAATTATCGAAATTTTACCAAAAATAGCAAAATCACAAAATTCATACCAAAAGAAAATACATAATAAAAGAAATAATATCTCAAAAATCCGGCTCAATTCGAGTTCAAAATTTATGTTAAAAACGGAATATTACTAAAAAGGGCAAAAAATCACTTAAATTGGGGATTCTGAAGGAAAATAGAAGAATTTGCCCTCAAAATGATGTATACCGAGCGAAGCTGGGTGACCACGATGTGAGAACAGAAAAGAAATTTT